AAGATCCTGCCGGCGGCCCCATCCCCGTCCCTGGGGAAGAAGCAGTCGTCGTCCACGCTCGACTGGCGGCTCAGGCTCTCTGCCGCTGAGTCCTCAAAGGCGCCGCTCTGGTAGAAGCCGTCCTCGCTGTCGAGGGTCATGGAGCTCAGCCGGCTGCGGGAGCTGCTCTCGCTGGAGAAGCGAGGTGTCCTCGGAAAGGGCGGTCCCGCCGTGCTGCCGCCATCGAGCAAGCCAGACTCCTCCAGCTCCAGCGCACCCAGCAGAGCGTTGTCGTTCACCTCCCCTGGAAGCAGAAGCCGAAGAGGAGCGTCATTTATAGCCGAAGGCGCGAGAGCGGGACGCTCGTGCCAGGGCTCAGCATCTCCCTTTCCCCTGCGGGGAGAGGTTTCCCGGCTGTGGGGTGCTCTCTGCCCCTGCATCCCTGCATCCCCTCACATGCAGAATCAAAGCTGCTCCCTGGGCAACCCATAAAAAAAAAAAAACCCAACCAAGTTAATCTCTCCCCTGATAAGTCTGAAAGAAGAATGGGGAAAAAAACTTTGGAACCCACATCAACACCTTTGCTAGAACTCATGCAAAAGAGCCTGTGGTCTGCCTCAGTCAAGCAGTGCCCAAATTCATTACTCCCGGGAAAAAAAGGCTTTCCCGGAGCCAGCTCCATGCCTTCCTTAACAGGGGAAATGGAAAGCAAACTAAAATCAGATTAAAGAATTGCTTTTTACTGATCAGAGAGCGTTTCCGCAGAAGGGCGCATCGCCGGTGCGGTTTCCGACCCGGAAAGGCGGACGTACCGTGCAGCAAGCGCCGTTCCTGTGCGAGCAGAGCGCGCAACTCCACCCACTTCTGCCGCAGGGTTTGCTGTGGAGGAGAGAGAGGGCTCCGTCACTCGCGCACTTTCGCAGAACCGTAAAACACTTGCAAAGAAAACAGCCTCTCGAGAAAGTACAGGTCACCTACAGGAAGCACTCCTATGTCCCTCTTTTTACTGAGACAGTTTTCCCGGAGTTCAGCCAAGTTCTAACAGAAAGCACAAGTTTGCTCACGTCCTGGGTGCTCTGGCTGGGGCGATTTGACAAGATTAGACCTCCGATTTGACAAGCAGTAGCCTGAAACCCGGCGAGCGTGCCGCTTGCCCCCAGCCCCCAGCGCAGACACCGGCCCCCGGCAGCTCCGGAGCCACCAGCCCCAGCGGGCACCCCCTCCTCCGTCCCGGCTGCGGCGGCGCGGGCACAGCACAGCGCACCGTCCCCGACCCCGCGTTCGCAGCACACCGCCCCGGATGCCCTCGCAGCCTCCCCGTGCCACGTGCCTGCCACCAGGGAGCAAGGAATGTCTTTCCCTCCATCACACATCAGCTTTTGACACGGCAAATAAACCACCGCACAGCTGATTCAAAAGAAGAAAAACAAAAAGCACATGACCCTCCACCTGGTGACAGCCGCAGTGGGCACTTCCCCAGTAGTCTGCAGGAACCCAGCGCACCGCAGACACCCAAACTGGCCCCACAACGCTTGCGTGGCCAATCCTGTTCTTCCGTTCACATTTTTCTCTCTTTTCCGCGTTTTGGAGCAATCAATGACAAAGTGAAGACCACGGCCCGGTGGCAGGCACCAGGATGCCCCGAGGGCAGCACCGGGGTGCCTGGTGAGCCCCCAGCACCCCGCGGGGGCTGGGCAGCCCCCCGCAGCGGGACTGGGGGATGGCACAGAGGGTCGTCCCGGGGCTCCCTCAACCTACTGCGCGGGAGCCATTCCCAGGGGCACGGGGAAACACGCATTTTCCCAGATGCTCTTCTCGGGGAATCCCTTCCTGGCGGATCTGGCCGTGCTCTGGCAGAGCGCTGGTGCATCGGGGCCGACCAGCGCAGGGCAGCCGTCGCCAAATCCGAGGTCGGGGGTGGCCCCAGCTTCCCCCCAGCTGCCGGTCCTACAGTGCAGCAGCAGGCTCGCCCGCCAAACAGGACCTATGACTGCTTTTAGGGAGAATTCGTCCAGAGAACTCTGCTCTTACCATCTCTACACAATGTTGAATAAAGTACTTTTTAGATGTTTATAATTCAGCTAAACCTAGGAAACCGTGGGCAAGAGATGCTGGGCAGTTCCCTGAAGGTTTTCCCCATCCAGACCCAACCAAAAGAGCAACCACCTCCTAGTCCTGGTTTCTCCCATCTAATTGAACAGCGGTGGGACTGTCAGGACAACCGATGCACCGAGCAGGTACCTGCTCGTGGCTGTATGCCCGTTCCACCGGCACGGCGGCGGTGGGGGCGGAGGGGCGCGTGTCCCAGCCCCCGTGCCTCGCGTGGGCTGCGTCCCCAGGGCAGGACACACGTGTGCCACCGCACGGGCAAACCTGGGATCCTCAGCACTCGCAGGCACGGCACCGTCGCGCTGCGGTTACAGGGGTTTGCAGCGACCGAGCACACCCTTCAGTAAGGCATCTGAGACAGTTATAAACAGAATTAGGTTCTTTCCCACCGCAGTCACACGGGCGTGAGAGCGCAGGGCCGGGCACACACCCCTGTTTCACTCAGTAACGATGCGTGTCGCAGGGGTTTGGCACTTCTGGGAAACAGCTGTTATCGAAAAACTCCCCTTTTGAAACAGAACATTTCACAGCAGATTTTGAGATTTTGGCCTTATAATTTCCCTAGAAAGGGGTGGGGGTGGAGTGGGAGGGGTGTCCCATTTCTGGTGACTTTACCGGTTATTTCATCCAGATTTCTAAGGGACCAGACCGAACGGCTTGCCATGGAGCACGGACCGTG